GCTACCATTGATGGAAGTACTAAAAAGTGTTATGCATGCTTCCAAGGAAATTCTTGAGGAGAGTTAATGGAACTTCATAGATAGCAAGAGATTATGCATGGTTCCAAGGAAATTCTTGAGGAGAGTTAATGGAACTTCATAGATAGCAATTAATCTCTTGCTATCTATGAAGTTCTCACTTTAACTTGATTTGAGCATCCGCCAGAAAAGTATACCCACAAAACATGTAAAAAGTGATGTACTAATAAGTTAGCTATGAAAGAAACTAAAATCACTAACAGTTTGTGAAAATTGCCAGCAACACTGCTGACTGACTACTGTTATGGATTAGTGGATGGCTCAGAGGTAAATTGAAAAATGAAGTGACTTAAAATCCTTGGGATGAAAAAATCTGGCTTAAATGTGTACATTCACAAAAAATGAAAAACATTCAAAAAAGAAAAGAATCCTGTCAATCCACAGAATCCTGTCAATACTGGTCCTCCAACTTCAATTAAAACTACTCCTAGCTTGCAACTACAAAACATAAAAGGGACAGACATAGAGATTGACTGAAGCTGGAGACTGATCAAATATGTGTGACTAATGCAAGGCCAGACATGAGAACAGGGAGACCCCCTAAGAAAAGCACATAAATAAGCTGTTTTGATTCTAAGAAGGCAATAGTTCCTGGGCAGAGGGGCTGAAATCGACATCTTTATTTTGTGTGTATAAATAAACATGCTACAGTGCTTGGGCAGTTCTCTTTCTCCCATCAGGAAAGAGGGCTGCACCTGGCATGCAGCTTTCATATTCTTCCTCTATTTTCCCACTCTGTTTCTGTCTTTCCACATGGTAACATCAAGAGCTGGGCTGTTACACAGTACGATGATATCACTTTTTAAACAGAGATTGTGTTTTCACTATTAGGTCTAAACTCGATAGTAATGTAAATAACAATAACCACTCCTCTTCATTAAATATCTATATAGAAATTATGTGTAATGTTAGCCTTGATTAATTTTACATGAAGAGATCACAAAAATAATTTATAAAACTAAAACTTGATACCCTCAGTAAAGAGAAAACCAATTAATATAAATTAGATTTTATTTGAAACAACTAGATACTTTCAGGTATAAACAGCCAAATAAATACTCACAAGAAATAGATTTTGGTTACAAATGGAATTTCTGATTCAGTAGTTTATTGAGCATGTAAGAAAATGTAAAATACTCTTTGCTAAATAACACACACACGATGACACTAAGAATCCTTGTTAAATTAAAAAAATTGAACCACTCAGACAATGTAAAAATCAAAAAGTCACTGGGATGAATTGCTGTTAAGTCACACAGAAAGTAGGAACATTGAGCAGAAAATAGTAGAGAGGATCTCCAGACATCTGGACAGAAAGGGTAAATGGAAAGAAAAAGCCTGCTCTGATGGAATTGAGTAAGCACTGTGTTTCTTGATAAATTGATAAAATGGAATACATGGGAACATAAAGTAAGATTTCAAAGCAAAAGAATCAGAAGTGGTAATTTTAAAATTTAAGAGAAATTAATTTGAAATTAGAAACATACAATCAGTGCAAAGAACAGTATTCAGTAGATTTGTTTCTACTTTAAAATCATTACAATAGTTATTTTTCAGAAAAGAATGATAAAGTGAAACAATTTTAGGAAAAAACAATAACAACAATAGGTAAAATCATGAAACCATGAACAAATTCTTGAAGACTATTTAAATTTCATCACATGGATTTTCTTAAGTAATATATTTCAATATTTACAGTTAACATAAAGTAACTTTGAGTGAACACCATGAAAGTAAATTTAAAATAGTACATTCTTGCCATGCATTTCAAACAGCTTGGATGAAATTTCTACTATACACTGATCCTGAATTTTTTGATGAAGTAGTTGCTTCTAAAACATAGAACTACATTACAGGCAAGAATAGTGTACCTGTAATCCCAAGTTATGGCACACTGAGGAATCAAGTTGAGGCCCACTGTGCAGCTTCATGAATTACAAAGCACCTGCCTCAACCGAGTACAAATGATCCCAGGACAGGCACAGCATGAGGACCAAGGGTTCAATGTACAGTGCTGGATGAAAGAAAATTTGCTGCACAAGGATTTTATGTATAAAACTTGAATAAAAACATTAAGGCAAAGGGACTGTTTTATAAAGTTCACATGAGCTTGTTATAAATAAAAATGTCAGTATAGAATTGACTTAAGTAGATCATTAAAGATTTGATAGGTTTTAAATATTCTGATTTTTCAAGGAGCAAAAAGAGTTTATTGATTTATACACACTTTTTAATGGTAATAAACATTTATTTCCTGTTGAATGCATCATTTAGAAGAAATATTTATTTAATATTATTAATTCATTGAAATTCAAATAGAATTGCCCTCCATATTTACCCACCAGATGTGGTACCATGGATGATGGAAACATCGATCTGCTTAACTATTTTGATAATGTGTGAATAAGATTGTAAGATTGATATGATAAACATATATAAAAATCATTTGATAAATATTTAAAGATAAAATTAAAGATAAAGGGAAAACTCTTTCAAGGAAAACTTGGATTTTGCTTAAAGAATAATGAAGTGAGCCACAAGAAAGATAAGTGAAAGTCAGAAGTAGAATCTTAACCTCATTCCAGAGGATTCAGAGCAGAGAGTCGCTCAATTAATCCCCTTTTAAAAGACTTTTTGTACGTAACACTGTACATATGCAGTTGATGAAGTATTAAAGTTTTGAATATTTTGGAATGAAGCTTTTAAAGAATCTATACCTCAAGAGCATTTTCAGTGAAAAAAGTAAGTAATACAGTACTTCTTCATTGGTATTAGGGTGACACAGTGCTTTAAAGGAGATTCTAAGCTTAGGAATAAATATTCAGAATACTGATAGAACAAAAGGAATTGAAGGGAGGTCAGACATTGCTATCCCAAGCAGAAAAATATTGCTAACATAAGAAAGAAATGAAAAATCTGTTATCAGATCCAAACAAAAACAGTTTAATCTTTTAAAATAAGAAGAACACGTTCTGCAATATGATTGAATATACCTATACATATCTATACCTATATCTATAACTATATCTATATCCGTATCTGTATGGATTATCTGTAAATATTTTTATTCCCAAAAGTTCTTTATATTTCTGAATCTAAAAGTAATGAAAACTCTAATGAGGGCCTAAAATCTTGTTCCTGGTGGATACATGAGCTTGCCTGGGCATGAAAACTTTTTGAAGTTCTAGTGTGTTCTTTTCCCCAAAAAGAGAGATCAGAGTGCCAGAGTGTAGAATACAACCAATTGCAAAAGCAACCAGATTCCATGAGCATGTGGAGTGACAGCAGAGATAAAAAAAGAGTAGGCAGCCTCTCATCTGTTTGAAGGAAGAGAAATGGAACTTGCATCTATCATCACTGAATTACTTTCAAAATTTTATTACTCTCCATGTCTGAGCGATTTCTCATTGCCCAGTACACTCAAGTGATATGTGATCTTGCTGACCAGGCTTTGGTTAGAATCCTGTAAGATAGGTATTAGCCAGATTGCTGTATGTGGTCCTTCCTTCAAATTCCATTCAATGCCCTCCATTCTTTTTTTTTTTTAACTTTAACCTTTCACTATACCACCCATCATTTAGATTCTGCTTTTCAAAAGCAAATCACAATTTTTGTATACTGAGGGTTGTGCCCTGATCAAATAAAACTCCTAAGATTTTCAATAAGTGCCATGAGTAATTAATACTTTCAGTACATTTAGAGCATTCTTTTTTGTGTCAACAACCTAAAAACCTTCTGGTCTGTCACAATCAGAGAAGAAATTCGTAGCACCAGCTATGATAATCAAAGCTTGCAAACAGCACACATTGATAATTACATATAATACATGTTGGAAAATTATGGAAGAAAGAACACACAGGAAGAGAGTAATGACAAATGTCTGTAATGCTAACCACTCAGGAGGCTGGAAGAGAGGGAATCTTGGAGCCCAGGAGTTTGTTGCTAGCATTAAATCTGTAAACATGTGGAAAGTGTCTAGCAATAAATTGTAAGAAACATTTGGACATTCTAAAGACTATGAGATAGGCAAAGACTCCATTTACAGAATACAAAAGCTCTAATCCCTTATATTGCCACTTCTGCTCCCAAACATAGGTAGCTGCCACTCAATCCAGCATTTTATAAAACATACAGTCAATCACTCTTTTTATGGTATGTCTTTTCTCACAAAAGCACAAGTCATTTTCTAGAATTCTTTGACACATTGAAAATTTCATTATTTAAATACACATTTGATGATGAAAGTAGAAGTGATATGGTGGTAGTTGAAAACCTATAATATACCTGTATCAAAGTGAGAAAGAATCACATTGGCGTAGAAAATCTCACATCTTACTCATCCCTTATCCTGGCCCTGCCTGCAGTTGAAGGAGTAAGGACCCTTCTCTGGTATGAGATACTTACTTAGAGTTTAATTGTAGGACAATTGAATATCTGTACCAAGAAATGTCTTCAAGCAGGAAGGGTAGCAATACTATAAAGCAATCAATACTAATAAATTGAATTTCATGTATAATTAAAGAAATATACACAGGCCCTTGATTGTATAAAGGGACATTTGGCCAAAGTCACTTCATACTCACATTAGTCCATTCCAAGGGTTGGAATTGATTTGCTACAAAACATCACTTAATTCCATATAGGGGCTTCTCAGTAGGAGGAAGGACAATGACCATGAGATGAAGTGGAAAACTGTGTATCTCAGGTTCCAGTACCAAAAGAAAGAATCTCAGAAAACAAGACAAGACTCTCTTCCCAATTCAAATAATTAAAGCAAACAGGAAGACAATTGCAGTACTGTTTCACACATGTGAGTGGGCAAGACAGATAGCATTATGCAGAAAACTGATTATCTGTCCACAGATGCCTAGCCAGCATCCGTCATGATAACTATAAAAAGCATAAATGAAGAAGATACTTACGGCTTGATATAGAAGTTCTGGGTAGGTGTTATTTCAGTGACACCAGTGTAGTACATATAGAAATACAGTGAGAAAAAGCCTCCAATCACCACATCTCCATCCTTGTGCACACTGGTGTTCCTTTGCTGAAGGCAGGCTTCATTAATGAAAGTACACACTAAAATAGGATGTTGCAGAAAAAGAAAGTTAGCAATCAAGGGAAACATCTTAGACACAGACACAAACTTCTGGCTTCATGAAGAACAGTCTTGCAGCACTGGTAAGGTATAAATGTGTGGATTCAGCCAGGTATGTATGTATATGTTTGTAACCCAGGTGGATACTCTGATGCCCCTGGCTCCTGTCAGCAGTGTCTGCTCAACATCCCTAGAGAAATTTGCTACCACTGCACCCTGGGCTCTACATCTGAGGTCTAGTGTCTAGAAGAAAAACACAAGACATAAATTATCTTTGAATGTCATTATATCTTCCTTCCACTTAACAAGATTGTATTCAGTTCCCCAGATAGCAACATAACAGGAGCCACCTCCTCCTAGGTAGATTTACTCTTCTGCTTTTTTCAATAATCTGTCAAGCATTGATGTGAACAAAGGTGTTGCTAATGATTAAAACTAGAGGATTAATGTTAAGTTTTTGTTGCAATAGTTTGAAAAACACCAAGCTCATGGAAGAAATATCAGGCCTTGTGACTTCCAAAGTGAAAGATTGGAAGTTAATAACTGACAGGCCTATGGTCAAGAGTTACAACCACAGAACATTCTCTGTATAGCTGTGTTGTCTGTGTACCAGTCACATGAGCTGAAACTCACAGTTACCCCTGTTCTCCATTCCTTGGAGAATTATTACACCACTGCCAGAAAATCCAAATTAGTAACTCAAAATCAGTCCAGAAAAAATGCATTTTTGAGTTATATAACTTATCCTATTTTCTGACACCTTCATTTTTCCAAATGTCTTCATGACATGGCTTACCACATTATTATGATCTATTTCTAGTCTTACAAATGTGATTACTTCCAGTATTTAGTTTTAGTGAGAACAACATGCTGTGTGATGAATTTCTTTATAACTTTCACTCTAAGTCAGAAGATTCAAGCTGGAAACAACTTCTGCTTCCTAGTACACAACTTTTAAAGAGCACAGACACACAAGCAAGAGTTCCTGGCAACAGGTCAGTTAATTTTTTAGGACAGAATGATTTTTCTTAATATATTATAAAAAATATTTCAATAAAATTTCCTTTTGCATTCATCAAAATAAAAATAATATCAGCATGAAGAATATCCTCAGCATGGACTTAAACTTTATGCATCACAGTTATCAATGTAGGCTTATTGTTATTAATATTGCCTTATTAATGTAAATAATAGGTAGTATGCTGAAGGTGGGAGAGATCTTATTTTTATTTTTAAACTAAATGTTTAAAAAGTAAGGTTTGTTAGTTTCAAGGAAATTATATTTCCTCCAATAAAATGCACTAACCCCACTGTCTTCATTCACCCTTGAAAAGAAGCTGTAAAAGATAAAGTTATGATAGAAGTTCAAAATACTCAGCTTGTAAACCCTTAAGAAATAATGAATGTACCTTCTCTCATCGATTTTATAATGGTGATATGACCAAATAATATATTGAATGTATTAGTTAATCTAAAGTATGTAATAAGAGTTTTAACTCAAAATATTTATGTTTATTAATCTGGACGTTGGATATGATATGCACTAAAAGAAATATGCTTAATTAAACAAGTCTTCTTCATATATTATATAATATTTTAATGCTAAGTAGTGTCCTTAATAGATAATTTTACCTTATGATCATGCAAACAATCATTATTTTGCTGATGATAGCATTTAATGTCTTCATTGAAGAGCTCCTCTTGCCTCTGCCTCTCTAGCAGGGGCTATATAGAAGCATGACAGTGCATACTGAATCTCAAAATGTATTATTAAAAGTGGTAATTTCTTTCATGCAGCTCAAACCACCTATATTAAAATATTACCAATCTTTATAGAATAAACAAAATTTTATGGAAAATGAGATAATATAGTAGTCATTGTTCATTCTATTATTTGGTTCTGAATGCCCTGTAATACTTTCATTCTCTTGAATAATTTTATACTACCTTGTTATGTTTTATACTATTGTATGTGGAGGTATGCTCAACTATTTCAAAGAAAGAGACATTATAGTATCTACTCTTAATAGCCAGTTGTCTGGTGGTGAAGTGCTGTGTTGCTTACATTTTTCTGATCTGCTTTGTTCTGTCCTCTTTTGTCTTAATATCTTTAAAATAAAATTTAAAAAATGTAAAAAGAATAAGACAAAATAAAAATGAAATACTACCAGTATCTAATCAAAAAGGGATTCATTTGATTCAGCAATATTTAGAAATCAATTTCAGTGCTGTCTGAAATTCTATAACACAACTTCCATCCATTCTTTCTATGCATTTTTGGAATGTAGAATGCAGCACACTTGATTCACTGGAATAAATAAAAATAAAATTGCCGTTGTAAAATAAAGTTGCATTTGGAAAAGCACAACATTTTGAAACATGGTGGAATATCTGTTGCATTTTTACTTTGGCTTTAAAGGTGAATGTTATACAATCAAGATACACTCTGGGAAAACTCATGAAGATAACTTGGATTCTACTTATGTACCAAGAAGTAAATTTGTGAGTAAATCATACAACTTTTAAAATCTCCATGAGCAAGAGAAAGATATTATTAAAAAGTATAGTTTTTGGCACAAAATTTTTCTTACACACATACACTAAAATAACCAAATAAAGTTCCAAAACTGATGTATTTCCTTAGAAAACACATGCATTCCAAATTTTACTGATCTATATATCAATCGAATATTACATAACAAAATGATATATCTATTGTATTTTTATACTAAAGAAATAGAGCATAACCCTGAATATGCTCCTTACTTATACTTTGTAGAGTGGTGCTATGTATCAACTCAGAACAAATACATTTGATAAATTATTTATCAATAATTACAAACTAAACTCTACTGACTGGAGAGAGAGAGAGAGACAGAGAGAGACAGAGAGACAGAGAGACAGAAAAACAGACAGAGAGACAGAGAGAGAAAGAGAGAGTTCAAACCTAAACATTCAGTAAGGATTGGGAAGTGCACTAGTAGGCAACATGGAACTTTGGAATACAGTGATTTATTTCAACCCCCAGAAACACGTAAATTTGTAAGAAAAAATTTTTCTATTGCCCAAACTCATGCAATATATCAACAAAATGCTATATTTCAAGGAGTAATGGACTGTTTATTTGTTTGTCTAAAATAAACAATAAATGATTCCTTTCAAGATAAGATTTTTCACATGTGCATCTTTTTTACCTAAAATGTCTCAAGTTTATTATACTTTATGGCAGAGTAGTACTCTACTGTATACAAAAACCATGTTCTCTTCATCCATTCATCCATTGATGGGCATATAGACCCTTTCCAAGATTTAGACCTTGAAAATTGTGCTTCTGTAAACAAGGATTAAGCATATATTACTATGATATGATGATTTAAATATTTTGGACAGATAAAAGGATGTATCTTTCAAGCATAATTTTAAATGAGGTTAATCAGACATAAATATTTAAATATCATGTTATTTCTCTAGTGTGAGAAACTCAAAGGAAAAATAAGGAGCATAGATATTGAGAAGTAGGAAGGAAACTTTTAAATGGGAATGGAAAACAGAAGACTGGAGTTTGAAGAAATGGGAAGATGGATAAAAATTTTAAAAATAGAAAACTGGAAAGCAAAATTTTGCAAATGGATGGAAAAAGAAATATTGAGGGTAATGAACAGGAAAAATAGGAAAAGAATCAAGAAATATTATGTGTAGGTACAAATTGCTTTTCTTGAATGTGATCAGCATGTATGCCAAAATGTGCTAATCAAATTAATTTAAAAAGATTTTTCACATGTGATTGAGTATCCTTTCTGAAAAGTTTTCAAAATTCAGTATAATTCCTGAAGGTCAGTTTTAAAGAGGTTTTAAAACTTTATGTGTCATGATCAAATTGGTTTCATACCATTCCTAAAAGAATGGATCAACAAAGTTTTCCATAAATACAAAAATATAGACAACTCTTGACAATCTCTAGGATGCAGAAAACACACTTCATAACATTAAATTTTCTTTTATAATAATAGTCTTAAATAAATTATGTATAGGAGTATGTTATTTCAACATAGTAATGGATGTGCACCTGGTAATCCACAACCAACATCATACCAACTATTGAAATCTGAAGACATTTTATCTAAAATTTTAATGAAGATAAGTCTGTTTACTAATAGACCTGAATCAGCATAGTGGTGGAATTTCCATTTGAACAAGAAATTAACAAAAAAATTAAAAGATGTTAAAACATAAAATGAGAAACTCAAGTCATTTTTCCTTATAATATGATTCTATTCATAAGATTATAAAGTACCTATACATCTTTGGAAATCAAAATTTCTGTAAAGTAACATAATACATAATTATGATACATATAGTGATGCCTTTAATATATACCAATACCGTGATGACTGAAAAGAAAACAAGAAAAGGGATCCAATCCACTAGAAAAAAGATACAAATCCTAATAAAAAACATTAAAAGTCTTTACAATAAAAGTGTTAAATATAAAAGAAAGAAGTTGAAGAATGAAATAGAAGATAGACTTTTCATGTACATAGATTGGGAAAATCAATATTTTTAAAATGGCAATTTTCCTCCTAAATGAGGCAATGATTCAATGCAATAACACTTCACAGGATTAGGGAAAAACCCTAAAATACAGTTACAACCTTAAAGAAAGGAATAAAAGAACCTGAAGAACCAAAGCAATGCTGAGTGAAAGGAGCAGTCTTGGAGTACTCAAAATCTATGACTTAAACGTTATAGAGTCATTATAACAAAAGTGCTTTATAGACATATAAATAGATATAGACGGTGGAAGAGACTAGATGTCATAGAAATCCATATGTGTATCTTTAGGCAACCAAAATACACCAAATCACACATGCAATTAATACATAGATGATTTTGTGAAAATTAGACTTCTACAAGAGGCCAACAAAATTAAAGTCCTATCTGTTACCTGGAAGAAAAATCAGGACTCAGTGTATCCTACCGC